TTTTTTTTTTTTTTGGTGAAAATAGGAAATAGAATTAAACAGAAGAACTAGAGTACATATCTGGGATATTCGATCCCATACATATCAGTAGCCAGATAAACATCCAGGCCTTGGGGGCAATCCTCATACATAGTAAAACTAACAGACAAGGAGTGGCCTAACTTAGACAAAAAATCAGCACACATATTGGCTTCTCTGAAGACATGCTGGATATCACCGTCTGGGATCCTACTGAGCAGTTCCCTGCAGTCCAAAATGAGAGCAGTAAGAGGGTGGTGATTACAACAGTCCTTGGTAATGAGGTTAAGGGCAGTAAGAGAATCAGTCTCAATGCATAACCGATTAAATCCTTTGTCAACAGCTAATTGAAGACCATCCCGAATGGCCCAAAGCTCAGCTGCCAAACAAGAAGTGTGACCGATATTCCTTGCATAGCCAAGCATCCACTTTCCCTCATGGTCCCTAAATAAACCTCCCGAAGCAGCTATACCAGACCTGCTGATGAAGGAGCCATCGGTGTTAAGTTTAATGAACCCTGAGGGGGGCTTGATCCATTTGACGGGAGTGGATATAGTCTGGCGAGTATGTTGAGGTGGGGAGCAGCAAGCCCAGTATTCTGCTGCTTTGTTCTTGATAATAGAAATACTGGCAGAGGAATTATAATCCTCCGGTTTGTACAACTTGCAATTCCTTTGAATCCAAATTGTCCAAATAGTAAAGGAGAAGAGGGTACCCCATGGAATAGATAAGAAGGAGCTGCTGTCCTTCCTACCACAGTTGAACCGCAGCCACTCACCCAGGGGGGAATCCATGGTCCGGTGGGAAATCAATCTTGGAAAAAGCGCATCCCAGATAGCGCGAGAGCTAGGACAATTCCGGACCAGGTGATCTGCAGTTTCAGAATTAAGAGAACAGAGAGGACACATAGAGAAATTGATAATACCAATACTGTTGAGATATCCTAGTGTCTTAATCCGATTATGGCAAAGTAACCAGATGAAGTTTTGGATTTTTGGTAAGGTGTGGACCTTCCAAATCCAAGACCAGTTCTGCTCTGGGCTGAGGGAAGTCTTCTTGGCAAGGCCGTAAGCCGAGGAGGAAGAGAAGGAGCCATTGGCATTCAATTTCCAAGCAAATTGATCAGCTCCAGAATCAAACAAGGACAGAGGGATAGCTTTGATGGTCTGAACAATGTTAGGAGGCAAATCATAAGAAATAGCTCTGTCGATCATCTGACCTTGTGAAAAACAATCAGAAACAAGCAAAGAAGAGTCAGTTTCAAGCAAAGGACCATTTAAAATGGAGCTAAGAGGCCTATGACCAAACCAAGTGTCATTCCAAAAGGAGATGAGTCTGCCGTCTCTAGGGATCCACTTGAGGCCGTCAGAAAATAGCGAGCTACCTTTTTTAATGTTCTGCAAGACCGGGGAGCAGTGATTTGGGTACTGGAACCTGCAGTTGTTAATTCGGTATTTGGTAGAGAGCACACGGTTCCACAAGGCATGCTTTTCAGTATGGAGACGCCAATTAAGCTTGCACATGGCAGCCAAATTAGCTTCCTTGGCAGCTTTAATACCCAACCCGCCATACGATTTCGGTTGGGTAATTTTATCCCGAGAAACAAGATGCAACCTAGGTTGGTTATCTGTAGAGCCCCAAAGAAAGTTGCGCGAGATTTTGTCAAGATCCTTCAAAGTGGAAGTAGGGAGCATTTGGGACTGCATGTAATAATTAGGGATGGTAGCAAGGGCAGATTTGACAAGGGTGGTTCTACTAGCCATAGTGAAAAATTTAGCTTTCCAACCCGCAAGCTTAGATCGAACTTTATCCAGGATAAAATTACAATCAGCTTGCTTAAGCTTCCTAGCAGTAATGGGAACACCAAGATACTTCCCAAGGGAAGAGGTTTGAGGGAGACCTAACAAGGAGCCTAGGTTATCCCTGGTCTGAGCGTGAACATTCTTGGAGAAGAGGACTTTAGACTTTTCATGATTAATCGTGAGTCCGGATCTCGCGCAGAATTTCTGCATAACAGAAGAGAAGAACATGCAGTTTTGATGGGATGCTTCCCCAATAAAAATGAGATCATCTGCAAA